GTTGATATTTGTAGTGATAAGCTAAGTTCATACATGACAAGCATGAACTTCCTCAATTGCTCTTATATTTGTGCCATTGCTTTTTTCATTTCAACAAGCTCTATCATAATAACACTCAAAAAAACATCTAATACCATTCAAGACAAGTAGAAGAAAGTACTTGAGAACAAAAAAAATACTAAGAATAATATCAGTTTAGAAGAGGATAATCCACAACTTCTAATATGCTTACGTCTTATGATGAAAAAAGGATAATCCACTCTTAATCAAGATAAGACAAAGCTCTGATATTGTAAGTGTAATCTTTTCAATCTGTCAAGGACATAAATTGAAAGATGATACATAAACCAATGAAATCCATGTCAAAGAAAAAGTGACAAAATAGAAATAAAAAAGTATGTATATTAAAAAGAAACTCGAATGGCTTATTACAAAAAGACAAGAAAACTTGAGACTCTTGAAACTAAACTAGAAACAACAAAGGAGTTGTCAAGAGTGAAGAGGGCTTCACTCTTACTTCTATATATACTATCTAACTAAGAGCTATGTGGTAATGTTCTATAGGACCTTTAATATGTGTTGACTTTAGAATACACATGCATTAGCTTAGAAGGCAAGTTTTCTACGTGTAGGTCATATAATCAGCTTGTTCTTCAAGCTATCAACATGTGTAGTATATGGCCAACTTGTTGACCATATTTTTAACCTAAAAAGTCAATTAAAGACACCTATAAAGTCAAAGCAATGTATATGAAGCTTTTTTAGAAGATATTCTAGAATTGACCTATTTTTACCTACTATTATATAAATCATATAAGTAATTACTGGTTCACATGTGTATGTCTGAGACAAAAAGATATATAGATCATATCTTTCAAAACGAATATTATCAACTTTTGTACTAAAAAATATAAATGCATATGCAACATTATATTATCAAATAGTCTTCTAAAATTTCTTGTTATATTAATCTTATCCTTCAAATTGATTTTTAATTAACAACATGGGATTTTAAAGAAGCAAAAGCTCAATCTTTGCATGAAGACAACATATACTAAATCATGGATTTTTTTTTACCCATGGTATAGTTTATTCATGTATCCAATAGAATATCTTATAATATACACATTATACATCAATACTTCCAATATTATGACAACTTTCTAATATTTAACTTTCAATGTGATGTTCACGAAAAATTTGTTTAATTTATTCACTAATTTATCTGGCTCTATCATGTTTTTTTTACTTTTTCTTCTTATTGTATACATAAGGTTGTTTCTTTTTGTGACCTTTACCTTTATTGTGTATTTTATCAAAGATTCATAAATTGAATAATCTCTCCATCAACACCATAATTATTATTAGTTGTAGTATTATGTCTTTTCACTTCTCTTCTATTCCATTTTCTATGTTCTTCAATAAATTCATGTATTTTTTTTCTCAATTGTCCAATTACACGATAATTATATATTTAGATATTGAAAGTAGTAAGTTATAGCCCTAGAATCTTCAATGATCTCAAATATATTTACTCTATTTTTATTATGAAATATCAAAAGAAATATCTTTGACTGAGATTCTATAATATCTTGGTTTTGTACATCTTCAAAAACATATGTTAGTCCTTAATATATATATATATATATATATATATATACATATTCTATCTTAATTCATACTCAAGTATCTCAATAAATTCTACTCTTTTATTGTTCAAATATCTACTATAAATTCTTATAATAAGTTTTTGATTTATAAGATGATCAAATATTTATTATATTATAGAAACAACTAATACAAATAAAATTCTATTTAAGTAATATGTCCAATCTACATATTTTTACTTCTAACTTCATTGGCATTTATATTTCTACATTTCATTTGATTATAACATCCACACTATTTGTACAAAAAAAGCATTAGGATTAATATTGTTGTGCCACAAGCTTTGATTTTTTAGCTTATTGTATGTTATAGCAATTGATTGCATGGAAGAATTGAAAATAAAATCTAAATAAAATATAAAAATAAAATTCTTTTAAATAGTAAAAAAATATATATATATAAGAAAGATCTAAAAAAATATGTGATATTTAATATTTTATAAATCCGTTCTTATACAATATTACATCTTAAATTTATGTATTTTTAAAATTTTCATAAATATACATATGCAAAAATAAATATTCTCTTGCATAGCTTTCTTAATGGTTTTGAAGATCTTGCATATATATTAATCATGAAATTGATTTCAAAAAAATCTATACGTTGTTTTTTGTGACCTTAAAGAAGACCTATGTATTTGTAATATATTGATTTATAATATAATAAATGCTTCAAAAATATTAATTCTTTATAATGTTAAGTTGAAACTTCATTTAAATATCTTAATATACAAGTTTTATTATTGAATATATTTTAAATCTACTATTAGTTATGATTCTTCTAACACAAGAGTACAAAGTGAATTTTTTAAAAACTTCTAATATTAAATTCAATATTCATGAAGTATAATGTGGTAGAGAAAAAAACTTAAACTCTAATGGGTTGTACTTTAATTCCTAATTATTGGTGATTTAAAGAATTATGATTACAAAGTATCATCTTACTATTTGAAACAACTATATGTTTGTAATTAACTAAATAACTTCAAAAACATTGTTGAGAATCATATCAAATTTTATTTTATTATATTTTATTTTTCAGCATATTCATCATCAAATGAGTATATAATTATTTATAAATTGAGTAACTTATATCAATTATTCAACTTTTTGATTAATTATTTGAAAACTATTCTTTTAATTACACAAAATATTTTTTTTATAATTCATAATTCAATCAATAAGTGTTTTAAGTATTTATGCTTTATTATTTTCATCTAATTGGTGATACTAATTAAAATAATTCCTAAAAGATAGGATTATATGATTTAGATCACCTACAACTTCTTTACCTTTTGCAATACAATTGATAAACTTTAGATGAGCAACCAACAAGTTGTTGCTTATTGTTGCAAGATATGATTTAATATTCTTGTAATTCTTTTATTTCTTAACATAATAAAAATAAATACTTCTATCATTTTTTTTGTTGTTTATTTTATTTTGTTTTGAAAGTGATCTCAAATCCACAACAACATCTTGCACCTCTTAACTTAGTGCCTACTTGAATTGATATGGTTACTTAATAAAAGTTCTATAGAGCCAAATTTTACTTTGTAAAATTTTTTAATTTTGCTATTAATATTAAATTTATACAATACAACCTCTTCTAACATATGTACGGCTTGAAATACAACATCTTCTGACATATGTACGGCTTGAAAAATAAGTAAATGAAAAAAATAACTTAAAGTTTGAGAAATCTTAGAAGGTACAACAAATAATATTAGAAAGTATCATCCAATGCATTTCAATAAGTTATTTTTTAAAAATGAAGAAGATTCTATTAAAAATAAGATGATCATATTTGTGATGTAATTGTAGAATGTAATAAGTGCTTCTTATAGTTGATATAACCAAAAATAATATTGCTATTGATATTAATAAAGATTTTCTTGAGGTTTATTGGATTTGATTACTAGTAAAATTTTAGCCATATGACAAGGATAAAGTCTACACCAAGTCACAAAACTGAGTAGATAAAAGTTGTGTTTTGAATATTTTGAAGAAAACATAATTTTACTAATGAGCTTCAATCAATTGAAACATTTTAGATGAGAGCTTATTACCCGAAATTGAGTTGAAAATGAAAATGTATCTTAAAAAGATCTAATTAGTTTATAATTTCTTAAATAATTAATTTTTGCAATTGATTGTATACATAATTATTATAGTTGGTTAATTGTGAATACACTTATAAATTTTATAGTTAAATCAAAGAAAAAAAATCTCAATTATAATTATATAAGTAAGATTCTTCTTTTCTACTTTTTAATAATCAATCTTGTTAGTTTTTTAAAAAATTAAGAAATAGATTTATTATACAAATATTATTTTGATTTATAGATGATGGTTTGACAAAAATAAGAAATAAACAAAGAATTTAATTTTTTTATGATTGAAATAAAATTATATATGTAAATACGTACATATATATATATATATATATATATATATATATATAGATAGATAACATTTTGACAAAAATTTATAAAATAATCAACATAAAAGCACCAAAAAAAACTAGTGATGGTATAAATGGCTTTTATCTTATAATTTTTTTAAAAGTGGATTTTGATAAGTTTATTAAATCCGTATCTACAGACGAATTTATGCAAATTTACATAATACGGTTGTAGAGTATCAAAATCTGAATAAAATCAAAACATTAACATTTACATCTTATGATTGTATATTAAATATAAGGAGGTATGTAGAGTAGATCAGAGAAATAAAATTAAGATATAGATTAATAATAAATTTTTTACCTTTAGAATTATAAGAGTATAAAACTTTTTATAGTAAATATTTCATCAACTTATTCTTTTTTAGTTTTAATTAGAGAATAAGAAATAATATGAACATTCACAAAAAGTTAATAATAATGTGAAGAGTATCTTCAAGATTTTTTAAAAAAAAAGAAATTAATATTTAAACTTAAAATCTTACAATGAAAGTTAATAACAAACAAATGACACTCTGGATTTATGATTGATATCAAAATAAATTAGTTTCACTCTAGTTGAACTACAGTTGCTTGTGTGAATGATGTACCTAAATTTTGAGGAAGGAAAAGAATAATGTGAGAAAGTACGAAGATAGCATGGCATTTTATTTATTTATGTATTTATGTTAAGAACAATCTGCTACAATCACAAATTCTCCTTTGTGTTATAGTTGAAGCTGCAGGACGAATGAATCTCACGATTAATCACCGTCAACGATTTTTATTCATCCCTAGGTGTTCAGTACCTGTCGCCGTGGCCGCTGGAATCAGTGGCTTTTTCGCCCTGTGGAGCGAAGGGCGGAGGACCAGGGAGTCCAACAGGGAACGGCCTCGTCACACCCGAGGAACTATGGGGTCATGGCTGAGCAGTTCCTGTTGTGGCGAGCACTGTCTTGCGGGGCAGGATTGTATCCCCGTTGTGAAGGATCGTTGCTGGTGTTCGAAATCGTATTGTCGAGACTCTGACGATGCTGCAGTGTCCGGAGAGCATTTGGATCTGTCAAATATAGAAATAGAGGTTGGGAATCATTCCGTGATCGCCTTTTTGGCGCAGTTCTGAAGAATCATTCACTTCCGTAGACCTAGCTTTTGGAGACATTGAGTCTTCGTTTTATCGTGTGTTGTTTGTGGTGAGTTGTATCAGACTCGGTGGAGGTGCGATTTACGTGGTTTAGTTGCGGTTGGACGATGCGCGAGGAAGGATTTTGTCTTCGTTTTTACTCTTTCGTAAGTGTCAAACTGCTGGATCTGAGCTTGAACTTGGATTGCAAAAAATTGTAGAGTGTGCGATTTTTGTCCTCGCCAGTCAGGCTGATGATCTGTAAATTAGGTTCGGGGAATGGTGGATGCGTGGTTTTGAAGAAGTTGATGCATTCCAAGTGGAGGATTCTGAATCGCTGTGGCAATCCAAAATGTGTATTTCTTAGGTAGGGGAGTCTTGTGTGATTTGATTTGTTTTACTTTGTTTTGCATATTTGGCCGTTGTCGATGTAACCCTGGGAAAGGCTAGTAGTTATAACATGTCTTATTTTGACAGCATAGCTCAAAAACAGCAATCTTATCGAATGGCGCAAGTTTATTGTTTGTGGCTGTAGCAAATCAGCCTGGCATGGACGCACTAAGGCTACTCTTAACAATTTCTTTTTCCCTTCGCTGTGAAGGCATGTAGTTTCTGGATGCGGGCGTAAATTATTTTAAGTGAGAACAGAGATTCAATTACGTGGAGATTAATTACGATGTGTAAAATGATGCAGCTGATAGCAATCGAGTGAGTTCGTGTGGTGCGGCCTTTAGGGTTTCTTGAAGTTTTCAGGGACGCTGAAAATGTTCGAGCAAAGCGAAAGCTGTTTGATGACCAGTGACATGGTTTCTGGCGTCTCAAGTGGGCTTAGGAATGGTAATAACAGCATTGGGCCGCTGTTAAGCTTCCATTTTATGATCTGATCTGCGCGATTTGTTCGATATTGTTTTTACGACATGGACGACGAAGTCATGGAGCAGATCAGGACACGTCTTGCTGCAGCCACTAGCGCTGCAACCGCGTTGGCAAAGTCCTTAGAAGCGCTTGACGAGAACACTCTGCAGACATTAGAAAAATGGCTGGCAAAACAGGAAGGAGGTTCGAGATGCGGACATTGTCGTGCCCAGATGCCAAGAGGAAAAGAAGCCTCGATGTGTATATCCTGCGGGAGCAAGCGTCCACCACCGCCAAACAATCTGGAGTACGATTTCAAAGTTTCATTTGCATTCTTGCAGTTCCTGGAAACAATTCATCCTCCTCTGAAGGTCAGTGCACATCCGTATTTTTAAGTCTAACAGATAAGTTCTTGATCATTGTTTAAATTTCGTAAGATCTAACGGTTTCTACAAAGAATCCAACCACGACTGTTGGATTAGTTTCTTGCAAGTGCCACGTCTTTTCTTCAGTTGGTTTTTCTGAAACACTTGGACTTTTACTCTTAAATAATAGAATTTGTGAACTCTAATAGTAACTTGTATAGCAATGGTCCTCCTAGATCACGAGCTCTTAAACTTATTCTAGTTGGAGTGGCCTGCGTTGAAAAATTTCACGTGTTCATTTGTATTGACATAGCTCTACCACATTTTTGAATTGTATTTCTTTTTGCATCTTGAGCAGAGTGGCAATCGCAGAAGTTGGAATCCGACTGTATCAATTGCTTCAAAGAGTCCAGAGCCATCAGCAAGCATTGAGGTTCTGCCTGTGGAACGTGAAGTAGCATCAATAGAAGAATCCATACCGCATTTGAAGGATCTTACGAAAGATGAAATACCTTCTAGTAACTCACAGAAAAGCTTATCTGACGCTAATAATGGGATGTTGGCTGCTGAAGATCATGTTGAGAATGATGATTATGGGGACTTCCAGGAAAGCCCGGAGGAGAAATCAGTTGACCCTTACCTTGGAAAAACTGATGATGTGGCTAAAATAAATGACCTCTCGCATTTGGACGAGAACCCGGCTGATTTGGGATCTGCTGAAGTAAGAAATGTTATCCTTCGTTTCGTAATTTACATTCTCTGTCAGAGTAACTGAGCTTTACTGACTAGTTGAAAATTACTACGTAGAGGTAGAGATTCAGTGACTTGATTGTGACAAAATCGAACAAATTTGGAGAAAAATAAGTCTGCCAATCATCTCGTCAAGTTCCGACCTAAACAGTATTACTCAGGAGGGATTTCGAGACGACTCAAGCAGGCCGATTAGTTGTGAGAAAATGTGGCGCGACTTTCTTTTCCTGTAATCGTTTTGTCAGATGATCATTTTTAATAGGTATCCTAGACTATTACGTACTGGCGGTGCTCATGTGTCTAGGCTGCTTGCCTTGTTTTTCGAGTTAAGTGATGTGACTTTACGAATTATCTATCTTGGATGCGGCAGGATACGAAGAAATCTGAAGAGGCATGTGTAATTCCAGCAAATTCTGAAGCTGTCAATGATTGGGATACAGAGTGGGATTTTTCTCCTTCATATCTCACGTCAGCCACGACCCCGCAGGAAAACAGTACTCTTCCCAACAACGATGTTGAGGACCTGAAAGAAGTGATACCAGCAGCTTCCCCTCAAGTCCCTGAGTACGACCTAAGTTTCTTTGAATCATTCGGAGTACGTATCTCTCCTTTTTGAAAACATGGATTTGAGTCCCTTATGAGAAAGGAAAATTAAAAAGTCGCACTATAACCGCTAGGAGCTGAGTGTTTGAGTCTTCTTCATTTCTCGTTAATAATACCATACATTTGTGGAAGCGTTTTATACCTGCGATGGATGTTAAAGCTACTGTAGAAGCGGCATTAGTTTGGTAAACGGTTGGAGTTGCATCTCTAGAGCTTCTTTTAGGTCTGAGTTAGATAGAGGTGGACATGAATCTGGTAACATCCGTTATCATGCTCATTACTTTCAAGTTTCTGTTATGTTATATTTATTTCCCTTCTCAACCTTTAGATTCGTGCATTGCGTCAGGTACTTCAGACATGAATTATTACTGTGCCTGACCTTTTACTTGGGTAAACTGATCCAGGACAATGAATCGAAGGAGCAGAGTAGTATACCAAACAATGATATAGATTCTTCATTTTGGGATTTTCAAGCCCCGTCTCTTGCGAATCCAAGGCTAGCGAGTCTGAAAGCAATGGAAAGATTTGCAAGTGATATATCGGCCTTCACCACAATCACGGATTCTGATAGCGACTCTGGAGACACCACTGTGGAAGCTTTGCCTGTAAATCTGAAAACCATTATCAACTCCTAATGTTTTTGCTACAGCTAATTGAATATCACCTCTCCTTAGTGCTTTATATGTGTTGGTTTTTGTGAGCTTTCTTGAAATCTTGCATAAGTAAAGTGGGGAATTTTTGCTTTTTGCGGGCTTTAATGCCAGCTCACACGAACATATATGATGACATTTAGTATGTGGAAATTTAGCAAATGTTACACATGATAGTGAACTCTCATACACATCTTGGGACATGTATTTACCAGACACTACCCAAGCTATCCACCTGCCTTTGTTTTACTTTCATCAGCATTATTTTCCCTCGTACTCTTAACTTGGTGCATTCTGTCTTCCTGTTGTAATTTTCTTTAATCTGGTTGCAGCCACCAAAACCACCAGTGGATATCTTGATGGAAACTGGTTTTGGCAGCGGAGGGGACGATTTGCTGGGGTCCTTGAATTCTCATGAACAGGTTAGTAGCATACACATAATTATTCTACACGAAGACATTCTACCAACCTTCTCAACTCAATGATGTAAAGTCGTAAAAAATAGTCAACTATTTCAATGAGAATAAAAGTGCTTAATATTATATAATTTGTATAATCTGTATAATTTGTCATGGCATAATCTGTAATTGTCAGCATTGGTGCTCTGCATCTTTTTATTTGCGACAGGATGGTTTTCATAAGGTTGGAGGCTCGTCACATCCTCTTGCACCTTCACCAGCCACTCAAGACCCGTTCCCGTGGCCGCTTGTTACTTTGGATACCCTGTCAAGTCACATGAATGGGGTATGTCATGAGATATATAATGTATTTCAAACTGTTGAAATTTTTTGCTCCAGCTCTACCTTGTCTGCTCTTCCTTTTCTTTTCTTTTTTCCCCTTTGTAATACCTAAAATTCCACTCGAAATGCAACTTGATGATAATTACGTCCTCTTTAAGGTTGTGCTTAAACGTCTCAGATTGTTTGCCTTAAAGGGACGTCTTTTAACATTGTAGAGCATGTGTGAACAAATACCCAGTTATGAAACTAGTGACTATCAAGGTTTTGTTTCTAGTGAACATCCAAACAATATAGCCAGTAATGATTGCAACTATGCCTGTGGACTTTTCTGTGTAGGATGATACTCCCAATGCAGAAAAATCTTCTGCTGGAATGATGGAAGCGGAGGGACAAGTTGGTCGTGATCCTTTCCCATGGTCCTTGGAAGAATTTGACACCGGAACAAGTAACACAGTCCATGGGGTATGTCATATGCGGTTTCTATGCTTTATTCCGTAAATGGGATGCAGTTGTATTGATGTTTTTGGTGCAATTGGCCGGTATCTGCATTCCATCATCATCTTTCAAGGGGAATGGCTTCTGTGTTCCTTCAGTCTTGGTTACTCACCATGTTTTCTTCACAGATAAAACAGCAAGAGTCACTGGATTTGATGGATCCAGTTCGTCCCCAACTTGAGGAGAGCAACGTGGATCCTTTTTCACAGACTCTCGATTCATTTAATCTAACGGTGCCTGGTGTGAATGAGGTAATGTATGACAGACGTCACAATATCGTTCGTTAAAACAGTTCACTAAGGTTTCCCTCTGCAATAACTCACTCGCTTTACTCTGTCGGATCCAATGGATTATGCCTCTCATGGATGTCAATCAAGGTGTTCTAAAAGTATTGTGTAATCAATGTTATGAAATTCTTGAGCAATTTTTCTGTACCATTTTTAGAGATATTTTTGGGTGGTGTGTAGAGTAGGGAACCTTCGCAGTGACCTTCTGAAACCTCTTGTCTCTTGCGCAACTCGCTCTGGCGGGTGGTTCACGGGAGGACTCGAATCACAAATCTCTTTTATGGAGCAGGCTAATGTGGATGGTTGCTGGGTTGTTGACAGGGTAATGAAAATGGACTTGAGACAGCACTTGAAGCTCAAGTTTATGGGACTACTGAAGAAGAGCCTGAAGATTGGGGTGATGAAGAGTTTGTATGGTCCCAAGCCGAGCCTGCTAGTCAAGCACAGTTGCCATCGAACGATGACTTTCCTGCACACCCATCAGGATCGTCACCCTTTGAAACTAGCTTCTCTTCTGAGACAACCACCAAGGATGTTTTTCTAGACAAAGATACATTCCTCCTTGATCAGAGTTCACCTAAACCAAGTGTGACAGATTTATCGGCAGGATCTGCTGAAAATTTTGCAGACTTAAGCAATGGACTAGGCAGCTTGGTATATTCGGAAGCACAAAAAAAAGTTGTGGGAGAGGATCTCTCAAAATCTACGCATGCTAGGTCGTTATCGTTTGGAGATTCTGACCAAAGGCCCTCTGGATTGGATCACATCGAAGATTACTTTAGACGAACTGTTTCTTTTGGTAACTTGCAGGCAAAAGATGAGGCAGACGGTGATGAGTTGTTGAGAGCTTTGCAAACATCTTCGATTTCACAGCCTGTATCACCTTCACCTGAGCCAGGACAAGACATCCTCAAATTTCTGAACCTGAAGCCGGCTTCATTCCAGATTAATGCACCTCTGCGTAGTGGAAGTTCCACAAAACCTTCACACGTGCGGTCAGTTTCATTTGGCACGGTGGAGCTTGTACCTGACGAACAGGACGACGAGATGTTCCAGTTTTTTCACACTCGGTCACATTCTGTGGGGTCATCAGCTGCTAAAGGTCCCGCAGTGGAACTTAGCGACACATCGAGCAGTGACAAAGGCGTTCTTGGCGGATTTCCCTCTGTACCGAATACCTGTGAAGCTGAGAACCCAACAGTCAGTGATGACCCCTTCAGTTTTATTAATTCAGCAATTGCTCCATCAATTCAAGCTGAGACCGTTGAAGTTAAGGCAGCCACTAACGATGACGATGACGATTTTTTCGAGTGGAAATCTGCAGAAACTCCATCTACAACTCCCTTTGAGATTAATGTTCAAGCAGTATCACAGTCCGCTGTTTCTACACCAGCCTCAATCCATCAGGACATTTTCCAGTGGCCATCTCCTATGCCAACTTCTCCTAGTCCAAGCAAGCTTGGGGGCTCCAGCTCCATGTCAGGGCTACTCTCTCTTGCTGGTGGGCTTCCACCTAGCCAGAATCGGACTTCTGTCAAGAAAGATGACCTTTTTGCTGCACTATCAAGGAGTTCTTCAACTGCTGGAGCCATACAAGCCAGAACATCAACAATGCTAGCTGATGCCACGCCTGCATCTAAACTGCATAATCCAACATCAGGTGATGATAGTGAAGACGAGTTTTCTGACTTCGTGTCAACTGAGGCACTGCCTTCTACTCCTCCAACATCAACCCAACAAAATTCAGCCCATGCAAGCCAACCTCCATTTGATGTGTAAGTATCGATTCTGTTTGCCCTTATACTAAATATATATATCGTTCGTTTTATATCATTTTGCAGCATGTGCCTCATCTATGTTCGAAAAGGGATTCTGTATGCGGAATGTTGCTTTAAATGTTCACTGTTGCTTTGTCAGCATGATCCTAAAGAGTACTTTGGCGATGAAATTAAATATGCAAAGAATCTATAAATAATAGTACATCTTTTTGAACTTAATGGTTTTTGTCATACTTCTGTTTACCTGAGAAACTGACAGGGATTCTATTTTGTGGATGTTATGGGCCTAAAATTCTGTAGTAGTTCACGGAGATCTCGATCGGTTTATGGATTTCATTAACTTTCTACAAATAATCACCGGGCGAATGGTTTCTATTCTTCCTGAAACTGATGGCTCCTGAGATGGTGGGATTACTAGACTGACGGCCATATTTTGACCCTGGCAGGTCATTTTTTGAAGCACCACCAAATCCAAATGATAAGCGGAACTCGGATTTTTTTGGCGACCTAATGGGATTAAACTTTACCAATGCTTAGTCTACAATTCTTTGCACATTCCATGTGTTCAGCTATCATGTTCTGTGTTAAATTTTCAACTGAATTGAAAAAATCTGCAAATTTGCGCTTTCCAAAAGTGCTCTGTCCCTCATATTTGTGTGGCTTCTCGTTCATGGTCATTTGTTGTTCTCCTCCGCACTGTGCTCATCTTCGGCCCTTTGTCTCTCTGCTCGTGCACGTGGCAGAGAACGCATTGGGCATACACAAGCTTTTGCGAAACCATGTTTTATTTTGCCCTTCAACATGGTTCGTAGTGTCTCACAACCTGATTCATATTCGTGCGTGGTTGTGCATTACCTCAAAATGAATCTGGCTGTAAGAATCCCTACTAATATGTGCATTCTCGTCTTCTATGATATCTGTAGAATCATTGGTAAAGGTGATGGACCTTGATCTTCGAATCCCTCAGATCAGTTATGTCCACAATTAAGATGGAAGACCATGTGGCTGCCTCCTCCTCATCCACCGCTGTACTTGCCATGCACACTTTCTGCCAATATTGTTTGCATGTGTGAGGCTTAAATTCTGGGTATTTATTCTGTGCCTGATTATATGAGGAAGGTCTGTCAATCTGAAGGACAATTTCATCGGAGCACACTTAAACAGCCTCCAAATTTATGACGTTAATCTTTGCTCTGATATTTATCTGAGATCATCTAACAAATTCATGTTCTGGATTCGGCATTTGCCCACACTCGTAAAATGACAGATAAATTTGGTGTTGGTTGAAGTTCTTAAGCAACATCAATCTACCCAACCTCGACCAGCACAATTTACTTGCCCACATTGTTGAATTGATCTATCAAAACAAGACTGTTTGCATGGTGCACCACAATTGCTATTTTTGGGTGTCACTGTTCTATACTAGTATGCAATGATAATGATATTGTGATGCTTTTAGAAAAGAATAATACAGAACTAGCATTACTATTATAATTTTTTCAATAATTTATTTACAGAAATTTGGAATATATACAAAAAAATATTATTTCAAAAATATGTGTATGTAAATCAAGATTAATTTTGTTGCTATTACGCAAGAATGCTACCTTTGTCAAAGATATTTGTAAAATATTTGGAAAAATAAAATGAAATGAAATAAAAAAATTAAATAAGGATAATATAGATATTATTTAAAGAACGTGATGTAGAAGTGTCTCATATTTTATAATATCATAAGAATTTAGAATACAATAGAATTGATGAGTTTTTTTATTTTTTTACCATGTTCTAAAGAATTTCTTTTAGTTTTAGTGTTTTTATTTTTAAAAAATTGTGCAAAAAGTACAACATGAAGAAAAGAAGAGAAAAAAATAACAATGGCTTGGCAATATTACAAAAGTATTGCATCAAATTAATAAGAGCCGATTCTAAAAATATAGCTAAAATTGGAGCAATTAATTGACATTTAAATCAAATAAGTTTAAAAAAAATCATCAACACTACAATTTAAAACATTGAGATGAATATTCAAAGACAAAGTTCGAAGTTTATTTTGCAACTAATAATTAAACATGCATAGACAAAGGTCATAACAACAATGGGTTGTTTTTTTATTTTTTAATTCTAATAGATGGTAGACCACAATATAACAAAGATCTCTCTATTTGTCTCCTTTGGTCTCATCATCCTATTGGACTTTGTTCCAATTAAATCTCTTAGAGTAATTAATACAATGTAAGAGAAGACAAAGTCAAATGAAATTGTGTTTTATTCCACAACATGTTCTTTTTACTCCAATTAAATTTTTAAAGTAAAGCAATATATAAAATTTAATGTTTTGAGCAAACCAAAATTATTATAGTTTTAAATAGATTAAAGTTCATACCAAGAAAAAATTAACAATAATATATTTAATCTAACCTATAAAAATTGTGACAAATGCTTAGGGAGAAAAGTTTAGAAAAAATAATTGTGGAAGAGAGATCATATATATTCCACTAATTACAATAATAATAATAATAATAATTTTTATTATAATTAATACTAATATTAAAACTACCAATAATCAAAATAAAATAGAAATAGAAATCTAATTTTTTTACATAATCTAAATATAAAATAGCTACTGCACAAATCATCATAAATATTAATAATATCACAATATATTATTAGAAAATATAACTAAGTGACATTTTTTTTTTTTTATATAACATCTGAATTTTAGACAATTAGAAGAAACCACAACATCTTGATCTTTTAGCAAGACATATGTTATATCTCAATATTAAATATAACTTTTTAGAATAGAGTTATTGAATACAATAAAAACGTGATAGTATTATTATTAAATATGTTTATTAAACATCTTCTAAAAACTTTACGAAGATTTTAAAAGTATGTTAAAATATGATTTAGACCTTACAAAATAATATTCTTAGAAATAAAAAAATAAAATTTCAAAATAAGATTATATTGTTCTATCTAAGGTCTATGTTTCTTAATTAATTATAGAATGATAAAACTATAAACAAAAGTTATTATGTATTGAGAATTGTCCAATAATAAAATCAATTTATCTATGTTCTAAGTCATATGTTTTTGAAAATAAAATTAAAAACTTCTTTTATATTAAACTATTTTTGATAACATTTGAAGTTACATTTTTAATAAAAAAATATTGATTATATTTAGATATATAATAAATTACCACAAATTTGGATATTATATTGAACAATAATAAAGGTATTTATAAAACAATATTAAATATATCTAAAGAGTATTATTAATACTACCACAATTTTTGTTATGGCCACCACAACATGCCAACAACTTGACATAAATCTTTAGTTTTATATGTTCCAATCAAAAAATTGTTCTTATTTTCAATATATATATATATATATATATATATTATTTGTTTGTCAACCACAAAAAATAACTACAACAGCAACAACAAATATATATATATATATATATATATATATATATATGACTAAATTTTGACTAAATTTTTCATGAAGTTGTGGGGACAATATCAAAAACTATGGTGACATTAATAATACCTTATTTGAAAACCAATTAATTGTGTTCAATAATTCCTTAAATAATTTGAAATACAACTCACACACAAATATTTAGGTATTTAGGTGATGACATGCATGAATAAATAAATAAATGCATATATATATATATATATATATATACTTACACACACACAAAAAAAAGGCAAGTGAGTGGATCTGAAATGGATATGAATGAGATAAGGATCAATCAATCAGCCAAATCATCGGACCTTGCGAAGCAGATAGTGGCTTCTTCCCAAAATCGGGCTACAGCCCGACTTCGTGACCTCCTGGATCTTGTATCTTCGGTGATCGATTTCTGACAGAATCAGTATCCCGGATCTCACTCTCTCTCCTCGAAGGTCGTTATTCATCTCTTGACTCACCTGGCCACTCCTGAAAAATGCATCGCAAACGTGGATTCGTCAAAAAGTTAGTGCCTCAGGAATCCATTAAGTGCTCGACATGCGGCGTCGTCAATGATGTCAAACTCGTTCGACAATGCTCCATGATCGCCACCGTTAAATGTCTCTAGGTTCTTGAAAATAGTCAACCCGTGAGATCCGCACCTTTCACCGCACTCTCCATCCCTCGAGTGGATAATCAGTTGCGCTCCTGGTACAGTATCCAAATCAATGAGGCTCGCAGGGAGATTTTTAACAGCGAGGCTGTCTGTATGAGAATTGAAGTTTAGGGCCTCCATCGGTGTTCCAGTCCTACGACACAAATTGATGAACCGAATTTCGTAAGGCGGAACGTCCTAAAATACACACCCGGAGGCAATAACTCAGACCGCAAACTACGAAGCACAACATCTGGAATCAGGAATGGAACTGTGACCAAAAATGTTTATCTACAGAACATTGAATAAGGATCGGAAAGAAAGGAGGAACATCTTTCTCTTTCAGGTAACGGTTACATTGCGTGTAGGCTTATACTTTTTACCCACCGAGGCTTGACGCTCTGTACCAGCATCGTTACATTGAGTTGTTTCTACAGCATTACTACCACCAGTTTCATCGACTCATCAAGAGCCGCAATTCTTCAGGACTTCGCAGCCAGTAATTGTCCGATAGGCAGACAACAAAATTGACACTATCCTATGTATGAAAATTATAGGACGCGATCTTCCGCGCGTAACTGTATCGTTCGCTAATCGGAACCCTTCACTTGAAAAGCTCGAATGGAAGTCAAATCCATTACCAATCTTGGTTTCGTTCCGTCGCTTGAAATTTCAGGTTGGTCAAGGTCCACGTTATCATCTAGTTTTCGAGTTTCAACTGGATATAGAATCGTGGAGTAAGTGCAACGTACTACAGCGGAAAATAAGTAAAAAATAACATAAAGAAAGTCTGGTCGCAAGGGCATTTGAGATCCTCCCAATCGCTGTTTGAATAGGGCAACCTTCACCAATTCTTGTAGTCAAGAACGTGCGAACGGGGATGTTTCTCAGCACGCACGTAGTATACGTCATGCCATTTCAGGATCAGGACGTCAGAGTCGAGCTGCGTTACAATCGCGAAGAACTGACCATTAAACTAAATCTGCTATTTGCCGCAGAAAGCTGTTATCACGATTCCGCCCCCCTCCTCCGAGAACGTAAATTCCTGCTCACGACGGAAACATGTAGCTCTGCGCTCTCCTTCACCTAATATGGCAGGCCTCTTCAAAAATTCCACATTACGCGGGAAATGCTAGAAAGCACGCTATCCATCTAGTATCCGTTGAACCAGTTTTCCTTCGCACATGCGCCCATGGAGCTGACAGATTCGCAATGCCCTGAAATATTGAAGACAAGTATTAAGAACACCGACCTCTAGCAGTCATTCCAAGTCTAAGTTCCGCCAGATGCCCACTAGGCACCAATAATTGGATTTATGTTTACCCCCGCAACATTCCCGTCGCAGAGTCTCAGAGTGAATCATCATGACCACCAGATCACCAAATTCCGGAACACGACTGATTCGTATCCTCTTTATTTACACGCGACAACCTCCCTGAAAACTACTCCAAGCCAAAATTGCAATCTCCCCCTTGCTTCCCGGCAACGATATCACAAACGTAAGATGCACAAGTAAGGGTTGGCCGGGCTCCCGACAAGCTCGCGCTACCGCTCAAAGCAGGTCCGTCTTCCGGCGATCCTGAAACCTCCCTGCCACAGTACCACGTTCTCAACACCAATCCACCACACTCACTCACCTACACCTCTCCTGGTCAGAGATGGAGACGGAAGTCTTCGTGCGTGAAATCACTCATCGTCCATCTCCTCTCATTTCCTGCACTAAACCGTCCAATCCTCCTCCATCAACCACCTCTACACACGCCCTACAGAGAAGCCACGCGACGAGAGTGAAGTGAAGTTTTTATGTAGAAAACATTGGCTGTAGATCCATACCTTCTCGCCTACATCATCCTTTCATTCATTCTGCACCACCAAATCACCTTCTACGCAAATAATGTTCGCATTTTTACGTGTCGAGTGCTCTCAAAGTTTTCACCTATCGAGAATCTCCCAACCACACGTGAATATAATCCATTGTTGAAATGAAGGATCAACTACACACTTTGTCCTTCGTTTTCTAAATTTAGTGTCAATAATTCCATGCTTCTGTATGTGGTGGGGCTAAGGCACAGCTCCCAATCATGCATGGATTATCCGTGCCTATCTGGTTATTCATCCATCAACGAACAGATATTTCATTATTCCTCACGCCCTTCTTCATCGACTACTATCATTCATCCCGTTTCTCATCCATCTCGTTGTAGTTTGTCTTTTACTTTTTCGTTACGTGCCCTAAATTACTTGTTGCAAAATTCGTAGTTTATAAATTTTGTATCAATAACAAATAAAAATTACTTCGCAAACATATATATATATATATATATATATATATTATATATTATTTTTTATAAATGTAATTTATAAGATTGTGGTCTTTGCTGTACAACGAAACTATCATTATTGTTATTGTTGCTACCACTATTGTTTCTTTTGTTGATAATGTGACGATGTTTCAACAAATTTTGTTGTGTGGAAGACTCTCACACGTGTTGTTTTTGTATTCTTTTATGTTAAACCATTCTGCAAACAAATAATATTAAAAATAAATATATTTTTAAATAATCAAAGTAAACTTATTGTTTTGATGAAATGTAGAGGACGTTCTTGTATTGCTTTCTAGTTGGTGAGGAAGATTCATAGTTGTTTTGACTGTACCTCGACCAAATTTGTTTAATTTCTAATGTACAAATTAATTAAAAAAAAAGTGGATGAAATTGTAGACTCAATAAAATTTGGTGTAAAATGTGCCCAAGGATTACCTTTCACCTACAGAACCATCCCTCTTGTAGAATCTGCAGGAGAACAATATTTTTGCATTGTCAAAGTTTTGCCTTCAACCAATGCAGCCTGCACAGTTTAATCATAAATCACAACGAGAAATAGTATATTCAAAGCAGTTAGTAAAGAATTAAATTGCTTGGGAAGTGGAAAATTGACACACAAGTATTGAATGGTCGCTAAGAGTGCGTTTAAGAGTTGTGTTAATATATATATATATTATACTGATGCAGTTAAATTACGTAATGAAATCAATAAACAATCGAGATCCGATTAGGAAATCAGCTTAAACTCTCATTTGAGCAATGTGATGTAATTTATGTTCAGCGTGGTATTAAAGGGTTTATCATTGTATGCAAACTGATTTAATGTTTGTAGTCTTGAAGACAAAGAAATAAAAATTCAAAACCTACCATCATTCAAATTTAAAATGCAATAACATGTGTACACGTGTATTTATTTATTTTTAAAATGTGAATACTTAATTTGAAAAAAATATTGATTTCTCCTTTAGTGAAGCAACTGGAAACTTATGTTTTATTTTCAGCTTTATCATATACAGTCACTCTACATCTCACTTGCTTGTTCTGTAACCAAGCTTGTGATTTAGAAATGGCAATGCAGCTTGCAGTCACCTTTGAGAGCCTCACAAACTCAATTCCAACTTTGTGGACTTCACATATTTGAAGTGTTTACGTCACTTTTTTTTTTTTTTTTTTTTATTTTTTTTTACGTGAAATTGGAAGTTTATTTTAATAAAAGCCAACTATTTTGGTTTAAAGGTGGGAATTGGACATGGGCACCATTCTAAATCCTCTTTTGTTGACATTTCGTTCTCAGGGTTTGGTTCTTCATTATATAGGTCACAAGTAACCCTTTTCCGGGGCTCCGCTGACTGTTTTTGACCATTGGAGTTCAAGACAGTTTCCACACTGGCTTGTCAATTGCTTCAACATGTTATATGTAAATACAAACAGAGAAAAATAAATATTAATAAGTTTATGAAACACGTTCTAGATTCTGGTATTGTAGATTCATACCCCCCACTAGTGCCACGCAGCCTAATATCGAAAAAGGCAAAAGCTAAAGTCAAAAGGTAGAGCCAAAGCCGTGTCGCAGGCTTTCGCAATAATGTTAACACACCGTGGCGTAAATGCGCAGAATCTGTTGAAAAGAAGGTCTTCGAAATTTGACGTCAACTCATGAGCGTGGTGTCAGGCGGGCTGCCGCTGCACATTCTCCACGGCAACGTCAACCGGTATTGACCGCCCCAGGAACGGTAAACCGAAATTACACCACTGAAAAAAGTTACTATACCAATTAAAGTTACGCGCGGATGATTTCACTTGAATTTCGCGGAAAGAAATTAGGAGGGGGATGCTATTCGTGGACATGGCGGGGCGTGGGAAAGGAGGAAATAGAAATGCTCCCGCCTGGCCTGTTGTGGCGGGGCGTCGGAGCCGCATCGATCGGTATGGATACAGCGTAGTTGGGGAGCGACGTTGGTAATGGTAGGGTTCAGCCCTGTGTGCTAAATGCTCTGTCCTCCTATACTTCTTTTTTTTTTTTTTTTTTTTTTTTCGCCACTTCTTACCACCGATCGGCTGGGTTGGCTTCTTGTCGCGTGACTTGTGGTGACGATTGCGAGTGGTGGCTGGATTGTTTGGGAGGCTACACTCGCCGTGATGGAGGGAGAGATCAGGTGTTCGAGTGCATGAGTCGGGAGTTGTGGTGTCTGTTGTTGTAAGGGTGCATCAGTTTGTGCCACTCGGAAAGGTAAGTGAAGATTCTGTGAGGGGTAAGTGTATGAGAGAGCGAGAGAGAGAGAGAGCGCTGGATGTTGATGCGGTGAGTTAGGGCTGTGGATGGTGGTGAGATTCAGTGTTACTGTTGCCTCTTGGTAGCGATGGTGATGTCGGTTTACGAGGGTGAGTGGAGTGGGTCTGTGGGCCATTTGCATTTGGGACAGTGGCGGGAAGTGGCTCGTGGATCTGTTGGAGGAGGTTAGTTGTCGGGGCTGGTGAATCAGGGTATAGTTATTGAGTACGATCGGTGAAGAGTTTTTGGTGTTGTTTGGATGCTTGATTTTAGTTTCTCTATTCTTCCCCCCTTTCGTTCTGGTGAAATGTTTGGCTGTGCGCTTGACGGATTTGCATTTTAAAGAAGACAATTCTCCACCGTAATATGGTGTGCCATATTGCTCGCATTGGAAATCGGTTTAGGTTGGATAGAGTTTAATACCGTGAGCCAGCAGCAGTCAGGATAGTTGTGGGTCTCACTCCGAATTTTAGTACCTATCACAGTAGATGAGAACAGCGTATTCTTAGATCATCCGTGGAGCAGCTTTTCGATAAAATGGTCGTGTGAGAAGTAATGATCCCGTCGGGAGTGCAGTCACCACTTTTTTGTTTTTTTGTTTGTTTGTTTGTTTGTTTGTTTGTTGTTTGTTTGTTTTTTTTTTTTATTTCTTAAATGTAGCTACAATTCTCTGATTCTTCGGGATCCATTGATCGACTCGAACGCGCAATGTAGGATGTTGACGTGCCTCTCAAAGGAGTAATCCAGCTACTGCAATGTAATGGTCATTCCTTGTGTTTAGTACGATCTCTATCTCTCTCGTACGATTAGGGCTTCACTTCTTGAATGGTGGGATCATTACAGGAATGCACAGGCACGGGTTTAGATGTTCATGTGTACGATCTGAAACTTGTTGTTGTTGTCGTTGTCGTTGTCATTGTTGCTTCTGTGTACACCTTGGAGGTGTCGAATTGATTTTAGGGATTGATTGCTTACAAGTATTGTAGTTGCGTCCAGTGGCGGTAGGATTTTACATTGTCGATTTCAACGAGCTCATGAATTTACATTGCGCGTATACTCGCAGGCGTAGCTGCTGTTGCTGCATTGGAGGGTACTCTGCACCGTGCTCTTCGAAGGAGAAGCTATGCGGACCGTAACTACTAGGATTTTGTAGAGAGGCGGAACTTGTGAAGTGGATGCTCACACACAATCATCGCATACAATAGCCATCAGGGTTTCTTCTAGTCTTTGAGCAATTGAAACAAAATTTCAAATACTGTAGTTATTTTTTAGTCTCTGGTGGAGACGAATATCGAATTAACAGAGGTTTGAAACTTGGACATCTTCACCTCCTTCCCTTGTCGACCAGTAACTGGATTGATGAGCAAGGACGAGCCCCTTGAAGAGAGGAAGCTCTTAGCCGTAAAGAGCTGGTTCTCACGAAGTGTTAGTAGCATATCCTCCAACAATGGTTCTGTTGAGGCTGTTGTGGATGGGAATTCCTCCAGTGTCTCTGTGTCCAAGGAGGGAATGGTCGACAATGGGACTGGCAATACCCCCCTGAGACAGCTTTCCATGAGGTACTGAGACTGCTACCCTTGTCTCGTACCTAATTTTGAGTTGTTGTTTCTCATATGAGAACCAGTTTCATGCCTTACATTGTCCAACAGTTTTTGGACTTGCACATGGTTTTTGAAGTAGCGATATTGAACACATAATTGTCTGTAGTTCGACTTAGGAGAAAATAATACAACCTTCGTGCATTTCATAGAAGTATTTAGTTCTTTGTAACACAATTTTTGAGGCTAAATATTGGTGCTTTTTAATTGCGGTGTGAAACAAGTAAGATTCTGTGAGACGATGTCGTATTATGAAACACGATTGCCAGTGTTGGAGGGACTCTACTCTCATGAGGGGAGCCTTTCTGAAAGCACCAATGCATATGAATATGTGGTTTTAGCAAATTCCATCAATGCCTGCAGTTAGTGCTTCATCTTGAAAACTAGACTGGCAAAAGTTGGCATATTTCGTGATGATCCTGGGTTGAGCTTTTGTGGATCATTGCTGGGTACGTTCTTAACGTCTTGGAGTCTTCAATATGCCATCTCTTTGTAAGTGACTAAATGGTATGTGATGTGAATGTGTTGTTACAGAAGGTCAAGACCTTCTGTGGAGACTGAGAAGGAATCTGGAACCGGCAGTCCTTCTGTGACACCTAGGAATATCACACCGCTAACGCCCCTTACTCCACTGAGGTGGAAATCCAACCCCCGTGAACAAGAAGAAGAAGAGAAGGCCGTGGAACGCTCGAGATTGGGTTCTATGGGTTCGGTTGTTATGCCTCATGATGGGTATCTGGGGGTTCAACCAGCTGTGAGTAATGGAAAGGAGGAGCGTGCACCTGAGAAACAGCCACAAGGCGTGTCTGTACATGGGGCGGCTGCATTTGATTGTACCAAGTCAGTTGATGAACTTTCTTTGAAGGCGCAAGCAGGAAATGTAGATAGAAGCTCCAGTCCTGAGTCTCCCGAAGGTCCTGACAGGTACTTGGGAAGGATCATTGTATTGTTGCATCAGGTCGATCCCCCGTTATTTTCACCCGAACTATGTATAAGCAGTCTTTGGAATCTCTGAAAACATCGGACTCTTACGTGGATGCGCTAATCTGTGTGGTATGGCCTCATGTGGCAATGCTCTTTTTTGTATCAGTGTCGTATGGTCTCAGGTAGGAGATTGTTGCAGCAGAACTTCAAGACTACGCGCATGCTTAATGTATTCTCTTCCTGCCGTTCCATGCAATGTTATGTAGGAAGCTATCTTCAGGGGATGACGTCATGACGATGACGATTGAGTTCTTACGAGCTAGGCTTCTATCTGAACGTTCTGCTTCCAGGGCTGCAAAACTGAAAGTTCAGCAACTTGTTACGAAGGTACATGATGGTTTGTCGCAGATTTTTATTCATGTTGCGATTCTACACACATTTTAGCACCTTGATCAGAATTTGAAGCAGTCCTGACCTACTTGCTGCAACCATGTTCAGCAGTAGCGATGACACTCGTCCTGTCGGCCTTGGTGAAGGCAGTTCATGTATTTGTCCACTGGTTTTTTCCTCCCTGTGGTGTGTTCATGAATGATTTCCATCAGTTTGAGTTCTACTCATGAGGATCTGGTTTGAGAGAGGTATGAACTATCTCATGCTCATTGAGTGTGATGCCAGGTGTCTGAACTGGAACAGAAGCTGGATCAGGCGATTGAAGATCGAAAGAAGGCAGAGGTCGCTGCTCAGGAAGCAGTCATGAAGTTAAAACTGGCAGGTTAATATGTGCTATTATCCCTTTCCTGGTTGTGGTTTGGTTACTGTCTGCTCAATGCGAATCCTGATTTTGCGTCTTTTCTCCGACGTAAAGCAGGCTGTTGCAACCTGATATACTTGTTTCGTAGAATGTTCCTGTTCCTGATCTGGGAGAAAGAGGATAAAGTTTTGAAGTCTGAGTTTTAGGTTTATGGCCAGATACTAAGATGACATGTTTATATATCTATTTTGTATGCAGAAAGTTCTAATCAATTTACAGAAAAGGCACCTGTCGAAGTATCAGATAAATGCACTTTGAATCCTACGAAAAGCTCGCCAGTTTCGAGCTCAAAATCGGGCAGGGAGGATACAAAATTTTTGCAGCCAGATTCAAGTATTATTGAAGACTTGTCGCGGACAAACTCTAATGGAAGTTCTGTTGAGGATAGGCATTCTACCACAAAAAACCAGTTGCCGGAGATTGTGAGCAAGATTCATGAACGCACAGTTGAGGAGGGTAGATCTGGTATGAAGCCTGCCCTTCAGAATTCGTCGGAGAGGACTCCAGAGTCACCTCAAAATCAGAACAGCAGGTACTCCTACTAACACTTGCGATTTTAAAACTGCATAATTTTGTTTTTCGAGCTGGTCTTACAATCTCGGAGATCTAGTACCATTACTTGTCGAAATGTTCGTTTTGCTAGCTTCTCATGTCCTTTAAGTGAACCACGATGGGAGAATTGCCGTTCGATCTTCTGCACACCGCCACTTAATATCCTCAATGTGTTTGGATAGGGCTGCACTTGAAATTCGCTTACGGAGCATGTGGAGTAAGATCAGTGAGGAGATGACTGCTCTTGCTGAAGAGAGAGGCGACGAAGTTGTTGTGCGAGAAGAGATCATGAGCTGGATGGACCAAGTACCTACTGTTCTTCAGGATATTATTTCGAAGAAAGAAGTTAGTCCGTCCCATGATGTACGCCTGAGATCTGAAAAAGAAATGATCAAACCTCATGATGTGCCAAGAATAGTGAACGAAGGTCATTCAGGTGTGTACAAGTGGGAAAGGAATCTCCATTCAGAAACTCGAACTTTCAAGTAACATTTTCTGAGGACATATTTGTATTGTGCTGTCTCATTATGAAACTTGGGAAGCTCTATATGATACAGTCACGATGAAGCCCTTTCATCAGGCTTACTCATTTACTCTGTTCTCATTTGACGAACGCAGCGCCATCACCGCAAGTCGCACAAGGCAAGGGCCAATTTCAGGGAGATGCGAGGAGGGAAGCATTGCTGCATGAACAGTTTGCTGCTCAGGAAAGTGTGCAACGAGAATGGAACAGGAACTATCAGGAATATCAAAGAAAATTGGGGCAGGTAAAGCTTTGTGCATATCCTCCTTCTGCATTTGATCGCTCTGCCACATTACAACATTTGCTAAGACTTCACTTTTTCGCCAATTAGTAGTAATAAATGGCGAGCCTGTAAAACTCTATGAGTGCGATCGTAGCATGGCACTGGCTTGGTCCTAGCTTTAGTCGTATCTGTTCGATTCAATCGGCTTATATTTCTTGATGACAGGGTGATGATCTCAATGGCATTCGATCACCAAACGCTTCTGCTAGACCCCGGGAATATCAACATGGAGATCAAAGGCATGGATCAAATGATCTGGTGGATGATCCATCCTTCTTGGGGTCTCATCATGCACGGTTAGCTAAAAGTAAGAGCACATTGGACCTTCCTACGAGACCTAATGAGTATAGTTCGGACATGAATTCACCTCACCGTGAAGGACCACATGTTGAATCGGATTCATGGAATCTCGAGGGGCCGCGAAGACATAGAACTAGTGGTCGACATCCTGATTCAGTACACGGACAAATACCAAACGATCCTACCCATGTGAACCACAATCGAATGTTTCAGGATCGCTCTGCGGCACCTTCCATGTACGTCGTTTATTTCACCTCCCATACTCAATTTAATAGATGTACCCGTTTATATTATACGTTTTATTTTTACCTCGACGTCCTTGATTGCCACTCGTGGATCTGCGCTCGGCTTCTTTTTGGCAGCCATTGCGAACAACTTGTTTCGCAACATGGAATATGCATTCATACTGATATACAAAAAAAACACTCATAGCTTGATCTTTAGTTTAGCCAGCCTGGTAGGCACCATTCCATACTCCAAAGTCATTCATGTTGTTTAAATGAGTTCATTTTTACTCCCAACATGGCGGAAGCCCTAATCCTGATCGCAACTTTTAAGCTCGGACAAGACCTACGAAGAATGTCATGTTCAGATATGCGATAGTTCTGAGTTTTAGCAGGTACTTCTGATCTTTTTTAGTGGGTTGGCTCACAACAATTCTGCTTTCAGGTTGCAGGGAGCAGGACATGAGCCATGGCTTGGAAGGAAATCGGACCAAGAGACTGCTTTATATTACGAAGAGTCTGGTAATCGAACCTACAGTCAAGGTGGATATCCGCCACATGCAGAAGGTCTCCCAGATAGACCTCAATTTTCTACTAACAGATCAGCTGAGGATGGATACCGAAACTCTCAACCAGACCTTAGGGCTGGGCAACCCACATGGGACGATAAAGATCGGGGATACAGTGGTGAAAGCAATCGAATTGAAAGAGATGGTTTCTACAGGCAAGAACTGACAACTTGAATCGTATTTTCAATGCTCGGCGTGGCTTCAATGTAGTCGATGTGGAATGTCTTATGGTAAGAATCATCATCCATTAGTGATTGGTAATATTTCTGACGTGCACATTTTAATTGATAGGGGAAGCGAAAGGGAGGACTTTTTCCAACCTGATAGTGCTCGTCGGCATCGACATCGGCATCGGAGGTCTCACTCCGATAGTAATGACTGGCCAGCTGTGGAGGATTACGGTTTGCTGCATCAACAGCATGAACCAAGTCCTGGTCTAGGGAGACGGCAATCCTATTCTGGGTATCCCGCAGCAATGGCTTCGGACTTATCTCCAAACAGTTTCGAGAAGACCTCCGGGGCTTACGACGATCTACGTCACAGTGATGAAAGAATGCATGAGGCACGTGGACAGAGGCGAGACAGCTTTCCTGTTGCCAAGGTTAGATTCGATTCGCCGGAACATTGCCTCGAGTATCATGCTTTTCTGGAGTCACTGTATCTTCGATGTTTCGAGTTTCCTTGTTTTCCAGTCTTGTTCAATGTCCTTCCCTTCGACGTTATAATTAACTTAGCATCATATCTACTCGTCTCTATTCCATCTCTTTCTGTCTGCGTGTCTATTTGTGACGTCTGATCGAGTTTAGAAGTTTCTTGTGAATTTTTACAGAAGTCTCTTGGTGCTTTGCTGAAATATCGTTCTTATGCTGCTCTTCTTTACAATGGCCTCACTAATAAGCTGTTGTTGTTATCTCCTATCAAAAAACAGGTAGATAATGCTTTTAGACACCAGTATTCGGCTCAAAATTTCTACCCCAGTGCTGAGCCTACGCTAAGTCTTGGATATGGGCCTGCTTATGATGCTCCTAGGGAAAGTTCACCTGTTCAACAAGGTCCCAAAAATGGAGTTAATAAGAATGTAAGTGATGTGCTGCGTGCATTACAAATGGCAAAAGCCAACATCCAGAGTGGAAGCAAAGTCTCCAAGGAGCAAAGGTCAGCTACATCATCCTCTGATAATTCCTCAGTCTCTTGCTGACATTGAATGCCAGGTCTTTGTGTGCACAACATTGACCAACTTAATTGAATTTGCTAGCCAGGGTTTTAAATAATAATCTTATTATCAACAATAAAAATTGTACTCTGAAAGTAATAAAATAGACTGCCCTCTGATTTACAATTATGATTTGCAGACTAAGTGGTGATCGGGCATCACTGAAGACAGGATATGGGATGGAACACTCTGCTCAGTACATGCAAACAATCCGGCAAACATCGCCAGAACAGTTGAGATATTCCGAGAGTCAGCAACCGCAATCTGAATCTTCAAGAGCTGCATTTTACAAGGCAAAGTACGACCCTTGCGATACGGATCCTAGTCGAGAGCGGTATCAAATGGAGGGTGATGCCATTTCTGGTACCAATGCTAACAGTAGTTACGTTGACCAGCTAAATGTTGGGAAAGGGATCCAATTTTTCTTTCCTGGATAGTTCCAATAATATGCAGGTTCTTTTCCAAAATTCATTTTCGTCGTATGCCGTCTTTTCTGAAGGAAAATTTGTGGCTTTAAATGTCGAATCCAAATCTAATTGCATTTTTCTCCAAATCATATTTTCATTGTCCAACTGTGCAAAATTATATAAAAGTGATTCTTGTTCTCAGTTGTGGCGGAGAATCGGTGTTCCTTGCAGAATATACATTTTCTGTCTACAATGTCACCCAATAAAGTTGTTAAAGTCATTGCTCTTCTTGTACTCATTTTTCTCTAAGGAAACCCAACGAAACAAGAATTGGTTTATTTCATTTCAATGGTTTTTGCAAACAGTCCCTTCGTTTTCATGCTCTTATTGCTTTTACGTTCATAGTGTTCAATAATCTTATTCTCTTTCTTTCTCTCTTGTTATCACAGAATATATTTATTCTTGTGCATAACTTTATTGTTTGTATTATTGTCTTCAAGTAATGTCAAAGCCGAAAAAGTATATAGTTTAAAAAACCCACTATGGATTTACAGAAGGCATTTGGGACAATGAGTTGGTTAATGTAGCTTGTGCGCTTGGGAAGGATTTCAGGCACTGTTTAAGCTGCCTTACTCAATTGTAAATTAGGTGCTTTAGTTTAGTATTAAGCAAATTATACTCGATTAGATTAGTAAGGTTTCATTTTATTTCATTTTTTATTTTTTAGGTTTTAAAGCAAGGGGAGATGTGTTGGCAATACATGTTGAGCAAGTTAGAGGGAAGGTTGACAATGCAAGGGCAATGCTTATTGGTCAGGGATTTGATATTCAGTCTCAAGCCTTAACTTGCCTATGGATGTAACAAAAAAATATGAGATGATTGCATCTTATGACTTGCATCAACCACCCACACTCAAGCAAATTCTTATTAGGCAAGTCTCTTTCTTTGGGAATTTTCAAAAGCTATGTAAGTTCACTTAATTGCACCAAACCATGTGAAATTGCAATGGGTAAAAGAGCTTGTGATAAAAGAAGTTGAAACACTATTGTTGCATGTTTTGTGGGTAGAAAATTTAAAGAATTTATTCTTAATATTAGGAAGGAAGGTTTCAAATAAATTTCAAAATAAATTTGTAGAAGATACTATTTCAATTAAAAAAAATCTTGGTTGTAGCTATTTATACTTAGAACCTCTTCTAAAGTAATAACTTGACAAATTTTAATTAAATCTTCATATAGATTCAACCTCAAGTTTTACATATTTCAATCTTAGAATCCAAACTATGATCCACACATGATTTGGAATCTAAAAAACATCTATTCTATAAGTTTGTTTAAGATTTCAACTTAAATTGCACTAAAAGACTTATTAAAAGAATTCCTTATTATTGCTAACTAATTCATCTAATAACAAATCATAGGCCAAGCTATGCAATGTTGTGGATTATAATATAGAAAATAAAAAATCAACACAATTGCATTTGTGCATGGTAATAGATTTGAGAGTTGGATGGAAGTTCGATATTAAGTTTGAATAAGTTGATGACTAATATTAATAAAATCTATGTTTATTAATAATTTTGAATTATTAACATACTACCAATTTTGTTTAGAAATTGATAACTAAATTAAATATTTTTTTTGCATTAATAAAGACAAATATTCAATAAAGATTGAATCGAACTAAGAGACTTTCATTATGGGTATTATAGAGTAGTAGCTCTAAGGCTTTGATAGATAGATATATGATTCTTCAAATATGCTAACTAATTTATTTAAGAAAATGCATACTTTTAAAGTTGCTAACATAAATATTTTCATATTAATTTGATATAAGAGAAAAGAGGCTAAATATAGTACAACTACATCCTTTTACAAAGAAAAATTTAACTTAATGAAATAAGCCACCTTATTCCTTTTGCAACTTTAATGTTGTAGATGCTTCAAGGTTCAATTCTTCTCAATTGTTTAACAACATCTAAGAAAATTTACCTTTAAAATTTCGTTTGAAGTTATAGGTAATTGTGATGAGAATCATAGCTATTTCCTTGAGCAAGAACTTGGTCTAAGAGTTTGTGAGCAATTTATTGCATAAAGTTGATGGATGTAAAAAGATTAATAACAACAAGACTATGCAATTTGAATATATTGGTTCATCTTAAATGGAAGATCTTTATCTTAGATTATATTTAATTACAAATGCCAATAAGATGACTTCTATCCTTTAAAAAATAATAAATTATAAGTCAATGAATATAAAAGTAGAAGGGAGTAAATCACAACAAATACTACATTGGATGTCATGAAATTTGTATACAATTACTAGACAAAAAAAAAAAAAAAAAAAAAAAAATCAAAATCTTAGCATTACACTATTGTTCAAGACTTTGGTAAAAGATATGTTAGAACCAAAAATATCTTCTAAAATCAACCACACTAAGTTGATAGAAAGCAATCTACATAACACAAAAGACAATAGTTTGAATTTTGAAGCCTCTCTAACTAATGAGTCCATTCTAAAAGGAATAAAGAACAATACAAATTGGAGTTGGTTTCAACACTGCCAGACCCCAATCAAGTCCTTATTAATATCTTACTATGGCTTGCAGGATCTTGCATGATAGTAGAGTCCTAGAAGAGGCTGATGCCTACCTAAAGACAATAATCTTATCAAATTTAGTTAACCTTCCAATTATTGATTACATTCTTTTTCTATCACATCAAGCATTGTGTATTTATACAAGGGCCACATTGAAATTCCTAAGCTTAGCAATTCCAAAAACTAAGGATATTTTATAAGCAAAGTCATGTGATATGCCATGCGTATTGCAAATTGAAGATATCTAAACTAACAATGTTTTGTGATACTCCCTATGTGGTGGAGGAGTATCACAATGAAAATGATTTATTGGATTTTGAGCCAAATAAGGATCCTAAATTGGCAGGTATGGAACTGTAGGACCTATCTAGCTTGCAAGATGATCTGGTTGTGGAGTCTTAATATTCATTTGGCCGCACAATCAAGGGTAATAATATGGTTGCAGCAAACCAAGATCTGTTGAGCCTTGTTGTTAAGACGGTCAACTTAGCAATGAAAGATCAATACCTATTGGATCTTGTACAAAAGATCACTTTCTCAACACTATAATATTAGCACTCTATTTGCTATGTTTAAATGCAATATATTTAGCCTATTTCTTTGACTAAACTAGTTTGCACATATGAATTATAGAGCGACAGCCCCTACAATTCCGAATCCGGGAATTGTCTGTCCTGCAGCTGTTGTCTCGTGTGCTCTAATCTGTGAGCTGCTTTCACTGTATTAGTGATCGCTCACCCGGTGGGCGAGAGAAAGAGGAGCGGAGTAATACAATTATCTGCTTTTTTGAAGTTTCCCTCCCAATCGTAATTATGTTTTTTCAAGTCGTTTAGTCACGCTTGCATTCTGTACAGTTGAGTCAATTAGTAGACATTTGCGCGGATTTTTTGGCAAATCATTGGAGACATAGATGAGAGTCTGGCAACAAGTGATTCGATGTCTGTCCTCTAGGGATGCGCCAATGAAATTGGCGTACCTGTGGGCAACTCTTTAGATGTTTGCCGGGGCACTTGTGGTGAAGTAAATGATGCGGAGAAGTTATCTGTTGTTATGATCTCTAACTCCACAGCAGAAGCAGACTCAGCGCTATTTGAAGTACCTGGAGGAAGCTTGGGCCGAAAGGAGTCCTCAGGAGAAGTGTGTATTGCACCCGTTCTTGGAGAGAAATACGAGGAAGAGGCCAGCGCATGTGTTCCAGCCAATGTCTTTCCTGGTCTGGTGGGTGTCAAAATTTTGTTGCATGTTGAGTATTTTATTTTATTTTAATTAACTTGCGTCAGTTTTAGCACTGGATTTTTCCTTGATTGGTATTACTCAACTTATGTCTGCAAATTGAAACCACGTAGAATGTCTTTAGAATGATGAATAATGTATGAAGTTTTTTGGATCATGTTTTGAATTGCAGGTATCATACTTCACCTTGAAGTAATGTATGTTATGTTCTTTGGGGTGTCAGGTGAGCGGGAGCGCAGGTCCCTCTGATCCTGACGTTTGTGCTATCTGCTTAGATAAAATTAAGCTGGCAGAGACATCTCAGATCAAAGAATGCGAGCACTCTTACTGGTATTACTCTCAGTAGCAGTTTATGGTGGATGTTGCATGTGCATTTTATTCTGTAAAGATATCATTATTTACATATCACCTTGGTTTTGTGGTACTGTTGAAGGAGTTAGAACTGGCGCAATTTCACTGACCTGTCCATCTGGTTGTTGCAGCGTTACTTGTATATTACGATGTGCTTTGTACAAGAGTAATACCTGGTGCCCCCAATGTCGTCTTCCTTTCACTGTTGTATATATACAGGGCGCTTGATGGGAGGTCCGTTTCTTCACTGAAGTGCAATGTTTGTTGCAGTATTTTTCAACTTTGTCGCATAGTTTTTGCTCTTGGAGATTAACTGAGTTTGATCCACAGAAAAATGAGCACAGAACTCTAGTATTCTTTCACTTCCAATCCTCATGTATTAATTGGCTTCTGCCCGACAAATCTGTATGGACTTGGCTGATGACGTTCAAACTTGGATTTCAAACGAGAAACTTTTAAAGTCTGTAATTATTGCTTAAACATGTATACACAGCTCTACAGGCTTCACAATCTCATTATTCTGTTGAATTCATAGGGAACTATGAGGTGGACACCTCCTTTTACTGTGTGCCCCCACCTACACCAATAATTCATTATTGTTACAAGTTTTTCAACAAGTTGTACACTAATGAGGATAAAATTTGTAGAAACAAAAACAAAAAACAATAGCCATCCACAACATAGAAACATCAGTAATATGGAAACTAAGTAAAGCAGATAAATAAAGGAGATGTCTAGGTGGTGGTGTCGCTAAGTTGACACTACTGTTATGTCTTTTTTTATCCTGTTAAAATTTTATCAATACAATATTTATTATTCTAAAGTAGAAAAAGAAATTGTCGTTAACTTGAAGAGTAAATTTCAATGAGAAGGGATTAGTTAGATAGGAGTGGGCCTCCCCTACTGTGAAATATTTTTAGATATTCAATTTCTCCATTTATAGTTACAAATGATCAACCTGACACATTTTGTATAATTGAATTAATAAATAGGTGTATTTGGTTTTTATTTCTTTTATCTATTCGCTTTAATCCGGTCTATTTCCTCTAATCTTTCCTCTATTTTGTTAACTCTTGATTAATATAGTATATACATCGCAGTTATACTTCAAAAGAAACAAAAGAGAAAATTTGGAAAACAGATTGCAATGATTTAGTGAATGGCGCTTGCAAAGATGATTTCAACAATTTTTATCTAATGGGTATGTTTGTTTGTTGTTATAACATATCCACAGAAATTTATTTTTTACAAGATAATCAAATATTCTTCATTGTTTTAAAAGTAATTGGAATACATTCGGTTAGTGTCAACTACTTTTATTACATAGAAACTATATTTGTAGAGCTTGATGTATATATATACACATAAATATACAAATGTTATGTTAAGGCTAGGGCTGCACATCAATTAGGAACGAAAAACTATCAGTAACAGTTATCATAGTTCTTTCGCAATGTTAAGAGTTCAGAGCGGATCGTATAGTATAGCAGATGCCTCAAAAGGGGAAGCCCAATCCTATCCAACTAACTCCTCCTGTGTACATCCACCAAAAAAGTTTTGCATCTGCAGCAACCAATAAACAGATGCTGCATCAGTGATGCATCTATGGAAAGCTAAAATATACATGAAGTAAATTGAGTACCCAAGATTTCGAAAGCCCAGAAACTAAGAGTTTTTTCGACATGTTCAGAAACTGAAAACATAAGTTATGAATTTTTTCAATCGCTCCATTGATGTACTCCAGCTTGATGCTCTCCCCGTATTTCCAGAAACTCTGGGTTTGCCTTTCGTTTTAATCATTCCTTCCTCGACAGTTATTTTAATCGTGCCAAAATTGATCATTTCATCTGAGGACATAAGGAATGGCCGAACACCTCGCATCTCCGTCACTTCAATAAGGTATTCTCTATATGTCGCGTTTAGATCTACATAACATTTAAATATGTCTTTCGGAGGAATTATTGCGATTTCGCGAAAACAACCTGCATTTCCTTCGCCTATCTTGATACCGAATTCAGTCTCGTTGACAAGTATCGAAAACATCTGGACACATTTGATCGTGCAAGAATTGTATCAGTGGAGGCGTGTTCACACTATTTGTAACTTACAAAATGCAGAAATTTGCAGGAACTTTATCTTTGCATACTGATCCATCGTTTCACGTGTGAGTACCTCATCGATTCTCTGCAATCAGATGTATGCACCAAGAATACAAAGGGCTTGTGACCGAAGCATGTATCATCCAATTTGCTGCATGGAACCAATGATAACATTTTCATAACAAACATGTGTCGAATGGCCTACGGGTTTGAATCAGTCCATGGAAAGAGTTGTTACCCTGCTTTACGACTGTGAGCTTGAATTTAGTGTCCGCTAGATTAGCACAGTACTTTGAAGATGCCAACATTAACTGCTGCTGAGATGGAGATGATTGCAGTCAGTAGCGATATTGATTTCCAATGTATCTTCCGAGATGGTTCACCCTCTATCTTGGGTCCTTTGAACTTATACTCGAGGCTATCCCGTACACAGTTAGATTCCTTCAATACCAAATTTGTCCATCAATCAAACATGGAAGCATGCCTTAGAGCCTCCTTCCATGTTCAATAGGTAGGCAATCTTATTTTTAGACTTTGCTCATACTTGGTGATCCTTGTAAGACAAAGTCCATCCATCTTTAAGATTTGCACTTCCATGTGTAAGGGAGTTAAGTACTTTATAACCTTTCATAAGAGGTAATAAAAAGATTTAATGACTTCTTATTATAAGTCAAATGTCCAACCATACATTCGTGGGTTGCTCCATCTATCTTTTCCACTTTCCAAAGTTGGTTAAGGATGAGTTGTCAGATCCACGACTAAAACTAATGATATATCAGAAAATTAAAAGAAGGTTTTGTATTCTAGCTTTAATTTTGTCCACTGATCAAACATATAAGGAAGCCTTAAGGCATTACAACTCGTTGGCACCAACAGATATAATTGCGAGGTGAATGACATAGGCTTATGGTACCTTAGTCAGGGCGGTCCTCAACTAGAAGGTAGGATGGTTGACAAAAGCCATATCAAGTGTGCCTTGTATGTCCAACATTGGCTTCTAAGAGACTCCACTCTCAAGCCCCTTTCCTTCCAAAAAGCCACTTGTTCTTCACCTCCTTTTAAGAAACTATTATAGGTCAAGGTAGTCAATTAAAGCAACACTCGATACCACTTGCTTGTATCACAGTGGCTTCTTTGAGACTTCATTCTAAGCTCCAACTATGGCAAGATGAAAGAATTTCTATTACAAGTTACCAAAGAAACTCCATATTTTGCGAAGACTGTTAGGTATCAAGGACAAGAACTTGATGAAAGTAAATAAACAAGTGAGACCTTTTTCAAAAAAAATGTCAAAATAAAAATAACAAAATATATATACTAAGAAAGAAACTGGAATAGCTATTGCTAAAAGACAAGAAAACTAGAGATCCTTGAAACTACATTAGAAGCAAGAAAAGAATTGACAAGAGTGAAGTAGCCTTTATTCTTACCTCTATATATATATTATCTATCTAGGAGCTATGTAGCAATGTTCTATAGGACCTCCAAAACATGTTGACTTTGCATAAATGATGTTGTCTTATAGAGTGATTTTCTATCTAGGAATACATTGGGTATCTAGTTGTAGAGAGTTTAGCTTTAAGTTATTAGCCAAGTTCCAATAAGTGATTTATTTTTATTATAGAAGATAAATAAATGTAACAATTTAGAAAGATTTTTTACTAGTAAAAATCTTTTATATTCAATAAGGTTTGTACATAAGGCTTTCTAAAGCATCTAAAAATTTCCTAACATCCTTTGCTATACCAAATCATAACTAACTATTTGATGGTAAGTTAGATTTTTCATAAGCTCAAAAAAAATCCATAATCTCCTTACAAAAATCCATCTTCATATCATTATTTTTTCATATCTCCATATCTTCATCTTTAATATATATATATATATATATATATATATATATATATATAAATTCTTGGCTCCTAAAAATCCCTATACTTTGCATAAAATGCCCAAATTGTAGTAAAAATCCTTTTAAAACATTTTCTTTCTGCAAAGTATTTTTTTCTCTTTGAATTTTAGAAATTTATATCTCTTGATACAACTATTAAATTTTTCTCAAATTTCTAAATAATGTACAATTTATCCTTAAGCTTTACTACAAAAAAAAATTATAAATCTATTGCCAATTGTTTGATATCTTAGAAACCCTAGCAGGTGCTCTAAATCCTAATTTATAAGCACCTCAATACTATTTTCTTTATATCTCATAAATCCAAAATCTAAATACCACAAAATTTATGTATAAAGTTTATTAACATGATAATACATGTTTTTGGAAAGTTTTAGCCAAAATCTTATCAAATTGCTCAAGATATAGCTCAAAACATAACTATTAATAAATTGGATCACTTACTAGCCTTAGATTGCAAGTGCTGACTTCAACTTCCAATATCTCCTTTATTCCAACTTCGAATTCATTAAATAGTATACCAAAAGTATAGCGGAGAAAGTGATTTCTTCAATCCTAGTTGTTAATCCTTCATTGCATTTCATATACATGCATTATATTCATAATGTATATATAGATAAGTTAAGGTGTTGATTTTGTATCTACTATCATTGCATTTCATATACATAATACTTTTGATAGTAGATACAAAATCAACACCTTAACTTTGAGCGCCTACATCTCCTTCATAAAAATTCCAAATCACACAATATTTTTACCAAAATCATATCCAAAATCTTAAACTTGACGACCTAAATCTTCTATATTTTAATGGTCTAAAAAGAATAATCTTAAACTCTAATAAGGCCTCGGACAGCCTCCTTGAAGCCCATTGGGCATGAATTTTGGCCAATAAGATTGGAGATTTTTATCATCTATCTCCATTCATCCATATAGTTGGCCTAACTTCTCTTTTTTATACAAATCTTTTTTTAAATAATTTTTTCATAGTATGTGTCCTAAATACGAAATAAAACAAGTTTTCAAGACTCATCAATGTCTAATAAAGGTCGCTTTTATTATATTATATAGAAAATTATATACTAAATATATATATATATATATTATTTTTGCATAGTAGCTGAACCACAACACGACAACGTATCTTTACTTACAAAACAAGTTTTCTATATAGACGCCATATAGTAAGCTTGTTCCACAAGCCACCAACATGTGTGGCATGTGGTTAATTTGTTGACCAAGTTTCTAACCTACTAATCAACTACAAATACTTGTAAAGTCAAAGGAGCATCTATGAAGCTTCTAAAAAGCTTTTTTAAAAGTTATTATGAAATTAATGTACTTTTATCTACTTCTACCTATTCATATTATCTAGATATGTTTTTGACATTATTTTTTTTTTTTTTCTAAGGACGAGTTCTACAAGGAGAAGTGATCACATGTTGAAGAACTTTAAGATGCGATGGATTGTATTTGCCACATATTCTGATTTTTGTTTCCTTCAAAGGTAATTGATAGGTCCTCTCAGTCGCAGATAATGTTCTATTATAGGGCGGGAAGACCATCTTATTATTTGATCATTATTGAGACCTTTATAACTTCCCTCAAACAAAATACTTGTAACACCATCAAAAATTGTTCCTATTCCCAATAAAATCACCAAGCATCAAGAATCTCTTTGAAAGTCATGATACCAAATATATTCTATCTCACCATCTATTTGAGGAAGAATATGTCATTCTTGGAGGTCTTCATCTCGATTATATCACCTTAAAGGTTGTGATAATCGCAATATCTTGTCTGATAAGTCAGCAAACAATGGCTCCTGAGTTGAATCTCCTTGATATTGGTTCTCTGTCTCTTTAGTACTAGAAATATACAGAAACTATAAACAAAGATAGAAAGTTGAATGCA